TTTTAACTGCGTTGAGTGATATAAGCATTAGCATACAATATTAGCTTTTATTGAAGCTAACATCGTACGTATCGAATATATCTCGACACACCAGTTTATAACAACAAAAGATATTTTAATTTTCCTGTTCATTATGTTGTTATTACAGAATAATTATACCGAGACAGACTAAACATTTAATTTACCATAATTCTTTCTGAAGTAATGACCTTTTCGGAAAATTGTATACATATATACTACGAACTTTAGTGTTTCAGCCTTCAGGCATGAACAAGATTTAATATTAAAAATTACATCATTTATTATATTCTACAATGAAGTTAAATTAAATTTAAGAATCATATTGACGGAATCTAGTAATCTTAGCGTATTACGACTACTATTTCGTGTCATAATAATGATCTGTCATATAAGAAAGTAACGTTTTTCATGTACGTATCACAGGGTAACATAAATCAGTAACTAGCTGTGGCCGCTACTTCGTCCGCCTAGAATAGTTAGGTATTTGTTGTAAAGCTCCTTCATAATTTAATAAATTTTAGCTGCACTCGACGTTGCCGCGTCATGTCGTTTTTGCAAGGTAATCTTAAAAGATAGATACGTTCGAGGACATTTATTAGATCGTTTTAATTATTCATTCATATATATTTTTTGACATGGAGAACCGGTTTTTCGCACTATTTCTTCACTCCTATTGATCGTAGCGTGATATTTTATAGGCTAAAGCTTTGCCTGACAATTGTTCGAACCTACACAAAAATAATTTTTAATTCGAATAACTAGTTCTTGAGTTTACCGCGTTCAAACAAACAAACTCTTCAGCTTTTTAATATTAGTATACATAACAACTTTAAGGATTTTGTTGGATAGTATACATTGACTGACCACAAGCTTACCTATCTAAAGACAAATAAATTTAGAATGTTACAATGGTTTAGTTGAGTAAAGCGTTCTTTCAGAGCTCTATTATTGTTCCCCTCTATACCAAGACTCACACTTCACAGATGCTTAAGCCTCTTACGTGAGGTTATTAAGCTATAATCTTCAGGGTCGTCCCGTTGGGCAACTCCACTGTGGACACGTAGATGTCGACTTGGTGAACTTTAGATTTTTATCTTCAACAGAATATTAAGTTTAATTAAAGTAGTTGAGTATTTATAATGTTTTCATGTTAGTTAAAGAAGAGGTTAAAAAAGAAGTGCCTAGCAATGACTTGAGTTGAGAGTAAAACAGCACAAATCACTGTTTGTCGTGGGCTTGGACCCCGCCAAGTATCGTTATTTCAATGTATGACAAGACAAAACCTTTTCAGATTTAGTCTAAATTTTTGCTGGTATTTTCATACAAATAAAACCACGTCTTTTTTATTGCGTAATTGATCAATAAATATTGCTTGAACAATTTAATGAAAAAGATATTACGTAAAAGATAATATTGCGCACAAAATCAATCTCGATTCAAAACAAACGAATCGCATGAAATGTATACTGTTATTGTTTCCAATCATTATTACAATGTTTCACAATATGCCAAATCTAGTAATAATAGACCAAAAATAGTTTATAAATATTTTGTATCTGACCTCTAGAAATTGAATTTGAATTCAGAGGAAACAATTGCTGTCGGACACAGAAGTCCTACTGATTAATTACTCGCCTGTAAAGAAAATACATTAATGAAGCGCACTTACAAATGTGTCTGCAACTAAATGTTTTTTAAATTTTTTCTGGCAATAGCAATTTTACATACATTTTTTAATAGTCAAATCTAGTATTAAAGTTGCTAAATATTATTTATCAAATAATTTCATGGCTTTTGTTCGAATATCTTTTGAAACATTTTTAATATTATTTTATACGGGCAAGCAGAATACCTTCAAATTAAACTTTCGTTCCATCCTTATTATAACAAAGAATAAACAAGTCAACACAGTATATTATTAAAAGATCGCTGTTATCCTTGTATTTAAGGAGTCTATTAAGATAACATTGTGCTATAAAATAAATCTCCACGAAGGTCCATATTTACTTTTCACTTAAACGTTTTCTCTTGGACTTGTCAAAAACAAACATAAATCTTCAACAACAGGATATCGATAGTCGAGATCAAACATTAAGTTTTCAATCGCGTTCAGTGAAAGAGAAGAATCTCCATTTATCTCTAAATGTAGTTCGAAGATCTGATAAGACGATCACGGAAAGCTTCTGGGCTTTAGTATTCAAGGATGCACGACACACGTACTGTAGCGAAAATTTGTTCGGACTTATTACCTAACAAATAGCTAGGACTCCGTACTAATATTATACATGCGAACGAAGTGTTTGTTTATCCTTCATTTCAGAAGCTTCAGAACAATGTAGCTTAGCTAACGGATAGTTAAAAGAAATTTGAGTATTGTTTGCTACATTTGGTCTTCACGTTTGTTTCATAGATGTTTGTAAAAATATATTTTCAAAATAGTTTTTTTAATAGTATTAAATAGTTAGTTAACTATAATGGTGAATATACGCTAAAGCCAATTTTGCACTGTGTGCGACATGAGGCAGACGCATTTTTGTGTCTATTTGTCTGATCGACTTATATTTACAGACAAATACTTAATCGGGTTCCTACTCCCTAAACTAAGTTTTCACGAATATAAACCTAGGTCATTGTAACTTTAACGTAAAAATGCGTTTAACTTTTCACATAGATTATTGCTGTAGATTATTTTTATGATATGAGAACATTTTATGAATGAGAGTTGTTAATAGGCGCTAAAACTATTGAACCGCAGACGAAACGGCTGAATACATCGCTAATATGGATTCGTAATTACCGTTAGATTTATACATTTCATGTGACGTCCAAGCACGTTATTCTGTCATGTGTTTTACCGTATTTCTGCACCCGTAAATACGAATAGTCAATACTGCAATATTTGCTAACAGTTCCCGCTATGTCACGTACTTTCACGTCTGCTCTTTGTAGGTATATCCCTAACAAAGAATTTCATTATAGAACTATCCTCTTAACCTTCATCCTTTAGCATCTATGCTTGTGATCAGAATGTGATAAGATCGGTATTACGATTTACTATAGAGAATGTAGGATACAGTCTGCATTTTAATGTGAAGGACGATGTGTGGAAAATCCCATTTCTCTGTGTTATCCCCAGATACATTTCTATGTTTATTTCACTTAACCATTAAATTTACAGGCATGTCAGTTAATCACTTTCACGGTGTAAGGCTGACACTATTAATCTCCTAGGATTCGAACCTAGGACCTTTCGCATTTCACTCAATGCATTGAACCACTATGCTATGGAGGCGGTAAATCAATCAGAGTTATTGTACATTATATTTAAACTACTAAGTTTTTTTTTTTTTTTAATATATACTATTAGCTGTAAGGATTTCAATACAAACAAAATATTATTTTAGTAAAAAATGTTAAAGATAGGTCGGTCTTATGCAATAATGAGAACTTATAGCATAACTTACCCCGATTTAAAACAATTGTATGTACTCAACAAATAGGAGGGTACATTGAAAATTGAGACATTTTAAAAGTTTGTGACCTAATACGGTTATATATTCATGTATGCTAAAAGGCAGTGAAATGTTAAACGGGACTAGGAAGGTTTTCACGCCAATTTTGACGAGCTGTCGCAATTTTCTAACAAAATTTTTTGTTCGGGGAACCCGTCCCTTGATTTGACAAGCGAATATCGTGTATAAACCGTTATTTTTTGTTAAATAAATCTTTTTTATTTTACTTATAATAATAGAGGACAGACAAGCCCGGGGTTAACTTGATGGGAGGTAAAATACAGCCATACTTTTACTTTGGATATATGTAGTTACATTTCACTTAGAGATCTCGAATCTATACTAATATATAGAGATTATCTGTTTTGTTTATATGTTTGAACGCGCTAATCTCAGGAACTACTGATTCGATTAGAACATTTATTGAGGAAGGCTAGGTTTTCATTGCGTACGCTGCGAAAACGGTTCAAGATACCCAATAAATATGTGTAAAAGAATGATTTCTCATATATCTTGTAAGATTAACTTGAAAGAATGACGGGGCGTGGACGATGTCGTGGTTATCAGCTTAAATTTATAGAGTTGAACGGTTCGGTTTGCAAAAACTAAATTTGATACGCAAAATAACTATTCTATGCGTACGAAGTCGTTGACTTAGCTAGTAATTTAATATTTGAAATGATTTTTATTTAGTTATTCCTTACCCAAAAGTCTATACAATATTATTGTATGCTCCGAAAACATAAATAATTTTAGCGCGACCCGAGAGCAGGCGCAAAAGTTTTATGGCATCAACATGTGGGTCGGATTAAAGCAGAAAAACCACAAAGTGTTTGTATATTAGGGCTGAGGAAAATTTTCTTGAGAAGGTCCTCTAATTTATCATTCTTGTTACTCAGCTGTGAAAAAATCTCATAACAAGGAAATTTCATGACGTTTTTCGTGTCATATGGCATCCTTCAAAAACAAGCAGCTTTTTATATTACGATGTGATTTATTAGCATAGATTAAAGATCCAGACATTAAGTTTGATGATAGAAGCGTTGAATTTGAAATTCCACTCGGAGAGAAATCTATTTGAATCAGTAATCGGACTTTTTGGTCTAGTGGTTACGACAGTAGACAGATGTTACGACGTCGAGCGTTCGAATTCGGGGTGAAGCAAAATGTAAATTGGTATTTGGAGGTTCCTAAAAAAATGTAGACCCAGCCCAGGAAACAGGTAGTCCCGGATATCATCAATAATTTAGTCAAGACAGTCGCTTGTGTTCTCTAAGCGACTTGACTTCGAAATTATTCGAAACAACATAATCAATTAATACCTGTTGTTTTGTCAAATTACGGTATTGAAATATAATTTAATAATCAATTCCGAATCACCGATTCCATTAAATCAATTGAAAACGGAAATCATCTATGAAATCACGCGATGCATGAAGAACTGAATGTTAAATTTCCAATTGTATTATGAAGATTAACGCGATAATTTTTGAATACGAGTCCCATCCTACGACTTCGCGTGTCACATTTACATTTCCATTCGTTATTGAATCAGGTGAAGTAATAAAGTTGTATAATAAGTGAGTGGGTTACGGATGCCTCGTAGTCTTAAGTTGATTCTGGCTTCAGAAAGTTTGCACAGAGAACTTTATCTCGGATATCTCTTGAAACGGTGCGCGTTGAAGTAGGAGAAACTGTTTCAACTTATTCAAGAAATAAATGGTATATTTATCTTTTACTAATCAAATGAACGTTCATCAGTGCTCAGTTATGGAGCTGAATTTATTTTTACTATAACTATAAATGACGTTGTATTTTCGACTACGGTTCGCAAAGTCCTCTACAAACTAAAATTGGAAAAAGTGTAATGGAGGGCTATTTATAAAAATAGGCAAAACATAAATACCAAAATTTGTTGTATACAAAATATTTAAAGATTAACGTAATACAAAAAGCGTAATAAGCTTTAAGAATGTAAAGCATCTGTAATAATAGTACATTATGATATAAGTGCGGTAAGTTGAAAATTACAGCCGAGGCGATATTACTAGAAAGCAGAGGCTGTAATTTTCAAAGCACACGTATGTCGTACGACATTTTATAACATATTTACGAGGAAATGACTTCCCCAAAACCGGAATTATTTTTACTTGTCCACAAATAAGCGATGCGCGCGCATCAACGTTTTTTTTTAGGCAAAGGTACAAAAACCATTTACTAATAAAGTATATTAATATTTTTGTGTTTTTGTTATAGATAAATGGTTGTAAATTATTGTCAAAATTAATTAAATTAAAGAATTCAATGTTTATTTGTTATATTTTATTTCCCAAAGTTTATTCATAAATAATTGACCACTTTCTTGACATAAAACCTCTTTACTAAGAAAAAGACTCCTTTTACATTACATTATCGCACAAGTATGTAATGAGTACATTACGATATTGAAATTGGTGTAATTACATCCACTTTACGAGCAAATGTGTTATAAAATACATTTTTTGAATATAGAGAAGGAAGACTTGCATAGAGTACACTTGATGGTAGGTGATATATCCCAACATAACCAAGATACGCTGCGACCCATTTCGGCTTTGGATATTCGAAAATCCACAGACTGAAACCGCAACGCGATTTAGCTTCATGGCTTTTTTATCTGTGGAGGGTAGTTCGTGACCCAAACAGAATTTCTGAATGCTACCACCTATTTAATATCCCGATTCCCCGACGAAGTCCAGCATATTTCAGATAAATTAGAAACTGACCTCGTTGAGATCGAACCCACTACCCGTTGATCATTACATTGGTACCATTAGACCAACGAGCCCGTCAAATATACATAAAACGATGATGATGATGAATTTAGAATATCACAACAACCTCTACGTGTAATACAGCCTCCATTGTGCTCATCGATCGTGCAGCAAATGCGAGTGACACTTGTACATTATGTTACGTACTATTTGTGGAACGCTGAACTTTTCCACTGCTTTTAACCTTAGCAGTTACTTCACTTATTAGTATGTTATAAGTTGTTTGGCTTTTAACATTTTTTAACGAAATACAGATATACCTGTTATTGTTATGCACTATTAAGTATTGTCTTTGTGTATTGTGAATGATATAATGGTCTAAAGTGTTATCTATACCAATATAAAAAGCTGAAAAGTGTGTTTGTTTGAACGCGCTTACCTCAGGAACTACTTGTTCTAATTAGAGCATTAATCTAGGAAGGATATAGACTATAAAACATGTACTATATAAATAAAAGGAGCGAAAAAACCAGCGGAAAAAAATGGTGGAAAAACGAGGGGGCGGTTTTACTAAATTTTTTGTCTTGACGTATGTTTTTACTTATCTACTCACGTAATACTGGCATAAAATTAAGCCATTTCAAGAACTTTCAAATATAAAATATTTTAACTATGAACATAATGGAAACATATATCTGTTTATTAACCTTTTTACATATATTTTTTTTATAACGTGTTATAAAATAAATTACGGACTCAACCCTTATTATAAATGGTCAAACTTCATCATCTGTGTTTGGTTTTAAACATCGTTTCTCTTTTGTTTCCAGTGACAAAATTCATCCGTATTGGAATTGCGGACAAGAATGACAATCCACCATATTTCGATAAGGAGCTGTATGAAGCCGAGGTCGACGAAAATGAAGATATACAGCACACTGTCCTCACTGTCACCGCCAAAGATCACGATGAATGTAAGTCTAGATATAATCATTTTAGATCTCTAATCTAGATATTTATGATAGGTATACTTCATACTAACTCTATGGCTCAGCTTTTAAACACGTTTAAGCATAAGAAGTGAGAAGGATTTAGAATTTACTCATTTAATACGTCAAACATCAAACGTCTTCTCACTTTCGTATTAACATAATTCCCATATTAGACAAACAACTTTTCAAATACATTGTAAGATAAAATTGGCTCAGTATTTTTCCTCCGTAGCTTAATAGTTAAGACTTTTGGTCCGAGTCTCGAACAAACACAAAACAGGGCATAAAAAATTACTTTTATTAGTAAATCGAAACGCAGAACTGGTATACGCCTTATACATGCACACATTTTAGTATTTAAAGCAGTTAGACTGGAAAATATATACAGGTACCGGCAAATTTACCACACTTATTTTAATAAAATGTGGCTAAGAAGGTTCTGCACATCCTAACAAAATTTGATTAAAGTAGGCCGGTTAGTTTAGGCGCAAGAACTCACGAATTGACAGAAAACATCTCATTAGAGCTAAATACATTAGAATAAAAATCCATTGATTGAAAAATAATTTATTTTGTTTGAAATCTTACTTCCTTAAATTTAATCAAACTTGATTTTGTTTTTGGCAATTGTTTTAATCCCGTGAGTATAATTCAAATTTATTTCGAATGTCTGGCGCATAGACTAACAAAATCATTACCCTCCCTATCGGCTTCGCCCTCAGGTAAATAACACACAAAACCCAATTTACGTTTTCTAGATCCAAAGCCAACCCGACGGCTATCATACTTACCGTGCCACACATCGACAGCTCGACATATACCAAATGCACTAACTCGAACTAAAATCTCTGTTTACGCTAAGGTGCTCCATTTCTGTATTAGCTTTATGTAGCTCACGAAACTCAAGCATATGCATTGACCTAAACTTTACTTGGGTTGACAGTTTTGTTATAACGGAGAAGTGTGTCAGGCGTTCGTTGCACAGAAGATCAACTCACAATGGATTTGCTTCAGCCTTGCAAGAAATTGACCGCAATGTTTTATCAGATTGACGTATAGCCCAGAGTGTTTAATTTCCGACTCTTCTGAGAATTCAGTTTGAAACCTCGTAGTCTTTGAACCTCGTCTATTTGCAAAGCTCCTTCAAAATTTTGATCTTTTTAATCTACAAATTATATGCAGCCGTAGCTTTTTGTTCTGTATAAAACGGCGAGTGGGCTGAAAGTGTTTGTATATAAAACACCTTGTACGGCTTCATTTTGAACGGTCTTTGTTCGCGTATAATATAAATAGTCATTGTATTTCTTTAGTGGCTTTGATCGTTTCTTTTCAATTAATCATTTTGAAATTAAATTTCGCTTGACACACAAATAACCTCATTCGGTATTGGTTATAGTTTTATCGTCCTGAACAAATAATAAAGTTATGTTAAGCGGGCAATAAATCGACGGATATTTCGGGGTCAATGTATTTATTGATTTCCTGTTACCGTTATTTATATGCATAATAAGTTTCCTATTTCTAGATAGGTTAAATAATGATATACAAATTTCTTTGTCATTTTATGTCGATCAATTTAAAAAAATCGGTGTACCCAATCTATGTTATATTACAACACATACATATGTGTCTAGTCATAACTACTTAGTTACGACTAGAATTAGGAGTAGGAATGACTATTACAATTACAATTTAACGATATTGTAGAGTAGTTAAAATAGATAACTTTTAGCTAGCCCCGGTCTCCATTAGATATATTTTCTCATCTCACCATCTCATACACACTCTACTAACATAATCTTTCAATTACATATGGGTCATATATTAAATATCTTCATATCGATGATCTATGTAGTGGTGATATGAATGTACAATTAACTGGAACTAATATAATGCCGTGCGCGGTTGTCGTCGATTTGAATACGTCTTGTTGGAACTTTGTCGGAGCTGATGTCATATCGATTCCAGGTATTATGAACCACATAGCCCGGAGCTCGATGATAGATGAGTTTCCTAAGCTAAGATCATAATTTGATAGACGATATTATATCGTGTATATCTTGAATGTTACCAAGCCTCAAAATGAAATGTGTATGAAATGAATGATCAGGTATAATTATTTTCCGGCAGATATTTAGTTTTTTTTTTTCTCTACCAAAATATTTATGAAGAAATTCTAATAGCATTTATATCAGTAGTATACTTTTTGCTACTGATGTAAATTATTTACACAGTTTATTCAAATTCACATCTGTTACCACGTTAGTTAGGAATGTTAATTATCTTTTTGTATTGTGTTACATTCTATGTATGATAAAATATACTCATGTAGACCTTTTGTATAACTATAATTAAATTCCTTAAATAACAAAAACTTTTAATTACCATCTAAGATGAATGGGCTTTAAGTGGCCAATATAGAAGGTATGAAAATATGTATAGGTATGTGACATAAGAAAACACAAAGGGTGTTTGTTTTAAATGTTCACAATAGCCACTCTTTCTATATTTATTGATTAATTCGAAAAGCTTATAATAGTTCTGGACATTAATATACCTTCCACACCGGCCAAATATGTATTGATAGATGTAGTCGTATTTTTTTTGGATACAGGCTCGGGTTGCTTACCAGGAAGAACGTTATAAAAAGTGTTCTTACTCAACATGAGATCGAACTGCCGACCTCACGATCGTTATTTTGATGCACATACTACACCAACATGGATCTTAACTCGTCGACGTTCTGTAACATACGAAATAAGAAAACTCATAATACCCATTATCTTTGTAAACGGTGGTTAATTAAAGTTTGTTAACAAACGTTATCAGTGTGAACGTGCTAAACTATTACATGGCTAGCGTTACGTGGCTCTTGCAGATATTCGCTTAAGTCTCGATTTAACCACATCTCCTTGTATCTCTAGCACTCAACGGAATGCATATGCTATCTAGTTCAGCTCTAACTGATTCTAAAACATTCAGACGACTTTAATGTATTAGCTTTACTGAACAATGCATTAATGCTTTATAGTACCTCTCAAGTGCTTTGTCCTGGGCCATTCTCAACGTTTCGTTATTGTCGGTTATGAGCTGCGTCTCTTCACCCTCCAATACCAAATGGAAAGATTCTTCATTTCTCCATACATGTGCGTTTCTTTTTAATTCTTAAATACTTAAACCCTTTTTATATAAAGACACAAATATGTCCGAATTCTCAAAGCCAACATAGTTCGACATCGCATCTGGTTTAGATGTTATATAATAACAAACGCAACAAGTAACTACAAAATGGCGGATATGCGACCATGTTATTAGTTATACCTTGAAAGAAAAATGATGGTACTTTGCGGTTAAAGACGGGGCTTTACCACATTACCAATGTATATAAGTGTTTCTTAGAAAACCTTATTTGTCGTCAATTTTGTATTGCCCTAAACATAAGCAGAATGTGCGATAAAGATTCTAGTTGCGTATAACCTAAATTCCTTGTAAAAAATAGGTCATAAGTCATTGTCAATAGTGCATCAGTAATTGACGTCACGTTGTTAAAGATAAATGTCGGTACTATCCAAACGTGAATTTCAAGATCAGTTGTCGAATATCATTAAAATCTCTGCTCATTTTATTAATGTCAGATAAATTGCGTGGTTTACGATCTTTTTTTATGAAATCGGTGGTAGGTATGTAAAAATACGTCCGAGTCACGAATCCGTTCACAGAGGGAAAGCCGTGAAGTGCATTTTGGTTAGCTTTGGGAATTTCCGAATGTTCAAAGCAAAAAATGGCTGAACAACGTATCTTTATTAAATTTAAATAGTCTATTTTACACGTAAAAAACACCATTTCTATTCATTCTAAAGCAAAATGGATTACAGATACTTGACCATCGCACTTGACACAAAAACTCAAAGAATGCACAGTTGTTGTTTGAAGAACATTACTTTGTAATGGACGTAACTGTTATATGATATTTTAAGGCAAGCAAGGGCTTACTTGATTGTAGGTGTAATATTTTAGTTACATAACATCAAAACAAGATGTGTTGTCGACCTTTCGGCTTTGTAGATTCGGAAATCCACAGAATAAAACCGAAATGATTTATCCTGACGGCTTTTTACTGTGGAATGACTGATTCGGACCCGGACCGAATTTCAATGTTCCTACCGCTCATTAAATATCCAGATTAGCAGACGACGTCCAACATGTTTCAGATAAACTAAAAGTTGATTAGAAACATGTCTGATACCGTGGGGATCGATCCCAAGTTGATTGTAGCCATACATTTCTACTATAACACCAACGACCCCGTCAAACTTTTCATCAGAAGGATCTATGTAGATCAAAAAATAAAGATTTACTTATCACCCTTAAATATTCCGATTATGAATATGTAATCAATTCGTTAAGAGAGGTTTCGGCTTATCGACGATAATTTAATACGCCCTTTAAAATTAATAACCGCTAAATTATAGAAGCTGTCTGAGCTTAAAGATCTAAATAAAGTGATGGTTCTTAATAGCAGGTCCTTGAATAATTACTTATCTATCTTATCGCTGTATTTAACGAGACATCTGGAAGCGAGAGTCCGTATCTAAATTGCTATATCTGCTTAGAAGATTCCTCATCATTAATCTTAAGAGATTATTTGCAAACGAGAGTAATTATAATTCATTTTAGTGCCATATGTAAATGTTTAATTAATTGTAAAGGGCTTTGCCATTTACGCTCAATCGAGAAACGCTAAAACTCTCTTGAATACGACATCCGCTAATGATGACAATACATCGAGAATGATTTCTTATCTTGAAAATCCAAGGAGTATAGGGGGGGGGGGGGGGGCCCCCCCCCCCCCTCCCGCGTTCCGAAGAAAATTTCTATAGTAACTAAATATGTGGAACTATTCGATTTTACACAATCTAGTCTAGGTTGGAAAATGGATGAAAACATGCAAAACAGTGGTAAAGCAAACACCAGTCCCCCAGAACTCTATTGCAGCGGTCGAATGTAGAATTTTTAAAAACTGCAAGGCAAGAGAGAAATTATGAAACTTTACCAGCTGAATAATTTCATGATTTACGCAAAATTGGATTGAAGAAAGGGTTTCTTTAATACGGAGCATTCTCGTCTAGTCTTTGTGAAAACTTTATTATCACTATAAAGCTGAGCTGAAAATTGAGTATTAGTATAACCTTCCTAGGTTTAAGATGTCATCCTTTTTTCGTTTAATTCCTTTCAAAAGCATGGCTCTTGAAATTTGCTTGCTAGTGCTCAGTGTGATTCACTGAAATATCCAGCAATTTCGTAAATACTTACTGGATGCTAAATTATAATTTGATTAATTAAAATATTTATAATTTAAAGTAAACTAACAAGCTCTTTTTGTTCTTCCCTGTTCCTTGAACATTCTATAATCTATTTTACTATGCTGAATATATATTAATGTTTTTACTCAACAAATTGACCAAAACTATTTTTTTAAAAGCCAAGAAACGTGTTTAGCAAATGATTTATAAAGGCAATCTAAGGCTATACCTTAAGCTGATTACACTATGCCTTGTATTACATATAAGTATAGATAAATGCGGTCCTGTGGGACAATATATGAGTACAACTATGTACTAATTCCTCGTGTGCTATTAGGCGTCTTATTAATTTCGCCCGAGGCACATTAATAACTCCCCCTTTACTGGAGACGTCACACGTTTCGATAATGCAAAACGGGTAGCTTTTCGTCGCCTCTTAATGGATGATTAAATCTCAACGAGTATTTACGAGTAACAGAAAACAACATCGAATGATTTATTATCGTCAGTTTGGTTTGATCCATTAGTTTAAAAAAAATATATTTACAAGAGGGAAACTTGGGCGATATGGACTTGGTTTTTTTATGATAAGGGACATATAACATGAGTACACTTGATGGAAGGTGAAAAATCACCATTAACAAGACCCATCAAACAAATTACATCAGAAGAGTTATATCTAAGATAAACTTGCAAGAATGCACAGATAATAATGTTTTGGATACTATGCGTTACCACTTAAGCAAACCACAGAGTACACTAGAAATCAAAACAAAACAAGCATTATATAAATGGCTTGTTCACGTAGTTGTATATAGGTATGTTTTGAGGTCAACTAATTTCTGGTGGAGGCCACTCATGTGAAGGGCAGTACGCCATTAATTGCGGCCATAGGATGACTCGCCCCGTTCGATCTCAGCGCTCGTGAGCGATTGTGGCGTTAATTCATTGCGACGCGACGTACTGATCGGTGCTTGAGCTTTGTCTTCATTGAGCACCTATCAGTTCAATACACAATACAGAGATCGCAATCACTTCGAAAATTAATAAAGGTGCTTCGTAGGTGGAATCCTATTGAATGCGAGGTGAAAATAGAATATTAATATCTAGCGATGTCTAGTTTCTCGAATAAAGTCAAATTTCATACACAAGCAAAAGGAAACGCAATAAGAATTTATTTTGACGTGATCGTTGGTCTAATAGTAGTCAATGTATGGCTTTAATCCGGTGAGTGGTTTTATTAGTTAGTTTTATTTACTAGTTTAGTTATTTATCACAGGTGTGTATTAATATAGTTAGATTTTGTTCCACGAGAGTTTTTTGAAGTCAAATTAAGTCTAGAGATCTATCAAAAATGTCATAGCTTCTATACATTCGTATTTTATTATGTTGAAACACGTAACTTATGATGCTTTTGACAGTGATAATTATTGAGATGTAGAAGAAGAAGAGTGTTCTTGCTAAAGTGGCGCCAGTGGTGGTGCAAATTTTAGTAAAATACTCTCATTGTATAACGTTAAAGTTAATATCCGATGACAAACAGACTAAACAGATTAACAATGTTTAGTACGTCAAATGTTGAGAATAATCCTAATTAAATCTTATTTTCATTGATTCAAAATAAATGTTTGTTAATTGGTGAGCATTAGTTATTCCAAAATAATCAATTATTCAGCCTAATTACCAACAGTACTGTAAACTATTAACTCGGTGGTTACACATTGATA